GCAGCGACAGGAAGGCGGAACGCTGGACTCTCTCGTCTTGGGGCGAACGCGAGTCGCAGGTCAAATTTCATTGCAGCCATCGTGGGAAAGCATGAGGGGTTGACAACGAGCTTGCCGAGGGCCCACTCCTTTGCCTTCCCCGTCAGTTTTGAAAGAAGGAAGCGAGTCCGCGCGAGCTCGGTGGAAAGCTGCCGGGCTTCGCCTGCGATGTCCACTTCGCAGAATCACCTGTTCAAGTGGAGGCGACCGTCGCCTTCACCACTATAAGAGGAGACATCGAGCTTGACGATGTCAGTCTTGTTCATGGACGGCGTGGGAGTCGACACGCGCTGACGGAGGTCAGCGTGCTCACGCCCCATGAATTCTTGGGCGGCAAGGCGGTGTTGAGCTTCGGCTCCAGCCGTGAGCAACGTGTGGATGGCAGCGTCGTCGGACGCAGCAGCGAGGCGGTGCAACGCCTCCCATTCGATCGAAGAGAGGTGGGGGAAGCTGTCGTGTTCCAGCGACGTGTTGGGAAACTTGGGCAACTTGGGCGCGTCGGGCATCGGCATGTCGTTCATCGTGAGCGTTGGACGGGTGACGAAGTGCTACCAGGTGTAACGGGCTTTCAGCAACCCGTTACCTTGCGTACACTGTGCATGAGGAAGCAGGCAAATTAGACTCTGATGTATTGAAAGCTAACGGCGTGGTCCGAGACCACGCCAACCAGTAGATGTGGTCTACAAGCTGATAGGCCATCGCATTGGATGCGATGGCGATGTGTGACGATGGGCCCGTCACAAGGGTGGTATAGCTGTTCGTGGCTCAATAGTGACGCTCATTGCGATGTTAAAGAAGACATCGCAAACTCTCCAATGTAAACTATGTTCCTTCCTCGCAGTTTCGTCTTGATGTCCGCTCGCTGATGATATTCCATTTTGAATTCCCCGCACGCGATAAGAGCATCGATTATGAGGCTCTTGTGCTTGGCAATATTCGTGACGATCAACAGCAAGGTGGAATAGAGAGGGGCCGTCGTCTTTAAGTACATATCGAGCGTCGCATCTCCGAGAGAGATTATTTGACATGCTAGCTCTGCCGCGTTCTTATCGCTCTCGTTGGGCACATTGACTTCTGGGGAAGGGAGTACGGAAACCCGTCGAGCTCGTTTTGGACATTGGAGGTGTCCCTGTAGCCGGATGGCTCCTGCCAAGGCATGAATGTGTCTTAAGATGTCATCGCAGCGGTGAGAGACGTTATGACTGGTATCTACAACAAACTCGACCAATCACAGTCAACCACATGTAGTGCGATAAGCCGCGAGTGCCCGTAATCCTAAACTTAAATAAAGACCGAGTCTGGTGGGATGACTCGGCTTGAGGCGTCGTCCTCAGCCCTGGATCGCAGGTGCTTCGGCGTGCGCTCGTCGAGCCGCTCAGGGTCCTGTGACCCCTGACCAGCAGTTCTATAGAGCTAGTTGTACTGCGTTTTTCATTTGGTAGAAACCAAGCTGCATATTTAATTTAAGTTCTAACTGGATTTTAATTCATTTTAAAAAATATTTTTATCAATAAAAAATGTCTTAAAGCAATTGTTTAAAAAAATGCTAAAATTAAAAGGAGCGGGAAAGTAATTTACTATTAATAGTTCTAAAATTTGTGGTGTGGAGCTGTATTAATAAAATAGAGACTTTTCGCAAGTCACTCCACCCGCACATTATCCCCACAAAGCCAAAACAGTCGAGAGACGGTCCAGTGGGGCCAGCAGTGAGGATTGGAGTCCACAGAAATCGCGATTATGGAGACAGCTTTCTCCACCAAACACGCGTGGCTCACACAGCCAACACCACTCGTGGCCGCGAGTGCAGCACTTTCAGATCTCCATCAAGGACCATGGCTGGAGCGCCGCGCCGCAAGAACTTCACAGACGATGAAGACCTGGCTCTGCTGCGCCAAATCCACGCGGACCGCCCATTTCTCCGGCAGCGAGGTGGCATCATGGCAGCGTGGGAGGCCCTTGCCACTAAGCTTGTTGCAGACGAGAATTTTCCACGCAACAAGCTGAGTGGCAAGACGGCCAGCGGGCGCTTCGACAAGCTAGTCGAGGCCCACCGCGCTGCGGCGGAGGAGTCGGCGAAGGTGTCGGGCGTGGACGAGGACAGTCGAAAAAGGTCATCCTGCTGGACGACCTGGTGGCAATGCTCGACGACCATGCAGCCAAGACGGACGCCGCGAGGGAGACCGAGCACCGAAAGCGCGAGCGCGAGGAGGAGACGTCGCTTGTCGCGCGTCGACTTTCCATGGAGTCGCTTAAAGAGAGCGGAGACGACAGCACGCCCGTCAAGAAGCGCACGGAGACGGAGTTGAAGGATCTCCTGATCACGCTCAAGGAGAAGGAGCTGGCGGAGAGACAAGAGGTGCGGGAGCTGGAAGCTGAACGCCGCCGACGAGAACGAGAAGAAGACCGCGATGAAGCAGCTCGAGCCCGCCGAGAGGCGAGCGAGCAAATGCTCCGCCTTGTCAGCGTGATAGGTGATGCTGTGCTTGCAGTTGTTAAAGCAAATAAAGGTGATTGAAAGGGATACACAAATGACGTTTATTTAGCGAGTTTTGACGTTCACTTAGCTAGGTATGCATCCAGCGAGGGTGGTGCCAAGCCGAAGGAGGCGCTAATTTGGTTGCCTCCATTATAGCAGCAGTGACAGTTTGTGAGCAACATGCTCACAAGCACATACTTACCAATGGGACTCAGTCGCAGACGGAGAGACTTGTTAAAGTCGATGAATGCCCACCATGATTTCATGCTACCAAATTGCCATTCAACAGCTTCTCGGACAGAGCTCATGAGCTTATTGAAGCGCTGCTCGGCATCCGTCGGCGCCGTTTTTCGAAAACCTGACACTAGAAACTTGCGTATTCCATAAGCCGGATCCCCGTAGAGAGCGTACCCATCGAATATGGAGGCTCGCTCTCCATAAACTCGATAAATTTGCTCTCACGCAGCAGCGTGCTGTCATGCCGCCGACCCTCGATCGGTCCCCAGAAATGCAGGGTTAGCCCATCGGGGGCGACCACTGCTTGGTAGTTGAGGCAATGAGTGCGCTTGTGGCCCGAGTACACCTGTTTCTGAAGGTTTTCTCCGCGCCCAGGGCGAGACGAGGGCCGGCAAATGCGGTTCTTAGTGCCGTCTATGAACGCAAAACGTTCTTCATAGGCGACCCGGTGCGGTGCACGGCATCTGCATATGCACGGATGCGCTCGGCCACATTGCTTCATGGCAGTAGATAGTATCCTCGTATCTACTAAACAAGTACGTCACTGTAGGAGAGTTAGTCAACGAATTTCACTGCCCATGCGTCCTTGCTCATCACGTACCGACGTGCATGAAAATACGGCACAGGGCGCTTGTGGAGCGCCCAAATCTGTGAATCATGTCGTAATGGCGCTTGGGGTAGCTCAAGCGATGGAGCAAGATGCACACTGCCTCAGTGGCGTGCGCCTTATCGCGCGAGCCCGTGATCACGAACTCCGGAAGAGCGAAGAGCTCCGTTAGGCGGATGAAGCCGGCGACATCAAAGCGAAACTGCTGCCTACAGTCCTCGTCCGATAGAGTTGGGACGCAAAACCTCACATCTGGGATGATCGGACGCTCAGGCTGCTCGAAGCTGAGTAACAGAGCTGCCTCCGCAGCCGTAACTGCGTCGCCGAGGACTTCGTGGAGCAGGAGGAGCTCCATGCGGGATGAAAAGTGATTGGTAGTGGAGAGCATGAGCAGATTTGGGAGGGTTTTGGTCTGAAGATATTGAATCCTGCGAAAACTCGTAATGTGGATGCTGCACATTATCTTTGCCCAATGTTTTGTGCGGGCAAAGTAGCGACAAAGACTATTGCGAAAAGTCTCTAATACTAATTTTAATTATCTTCACAGCGCAGCCCGTGGATTGTCCAAATTTGGACAATTTGGGCAATTTTGGACAATTTGGACAAGTGTGGACAATTTGGACAAGTTTGGAAAGACTATGGAGTACATACATGTACGCAGCATAACGTCACTGTTAGCGAGATTATTTTCGATTCTGATGGTTAATAATTGTCCAATCTTCATTATCCTACTCCCGTAACATCACTATCGGAAAATATATGCCACCGTAGCCAGAATCAGCTATATTTTCTCATAATAATTTTAGACAAGCGCTACTAAATCAAATACAGAATCAGCTTTGATTTCTCATAATAATTTTTAACAAGCGCAACTATTATAATCAAATAGCATCGCGTTTTGAGAAGAAAAGGAAACACAATTTGGTTACAGCGATTCTGATTTTTTGATTGGTTAAAACATCTGATCAAATTCAAACTACCAGGTCCTGAGCGGTAGCTATAGGTCGGCCAGGAATGTTATTAAGGATCATGCCAGCAGACAAGTAGCACAATACACCTCACCCTAAATTAAGAAGTCCTACCAGAAATGCGTTGGAGCTCGAATCCATAAATCGAGGGGAATTGATTGCAACTTGGGTAGCTTCTACTCTCAAGTCATCAAAACTGTTTTGAAAGCCACTTGCATTTTCAAGATCCCTATGGTTCACAATAGTAGCCTCATCATACTATTTTGCAGCACTTTACAATGCAAAGTTAACTCCACCCCACGACACTTGAGAATAACATTATTTCAAGAGGTGATATAGGCTTCGTTCTAAAATTTGTAATGTGTTTTTGTTCTGCTGACTTTTAAAGGTACATATATTGAAGATACGGTAAATAGAAGACTATTTATCATCAGCTCAAAGGATTGTAACGGGCCAGTTATCTCGTCCGGCCGTGGGGCGGGTCGTTGCTCCACAGTGCTGCGCTCGGCATCCGCTTTCACTAGACTCCGTAACTTTACTTAATATTAGACACCACTGGCTGACAGGATCCACTTGACCCTGCGCCGGAACGTTCATCACTTGTGCCCGCTCCTACTTTATTAATCAACAATAAGCTGCTTAAGCCACCTGCTAATGCAGCCAACACACTCAATTAGGACTCGTCCTTGGACAACGCGCACGCTGGATTCCCCATCAGTGCACACGCCGCCCTTGTACTCGCCCCAGCACTCAAGCAATGCACACTGGATTCCCCGTCAGTGCACACCACCACCAACAAGCTCAACGACGGGCTGGATTCCCCGTCAGCACACGCCGCCTCGCCTCAACCAACAAGCTCAACGACGGGCTGGATTCCCCGTCAGCACACGCCGCCTCGCCTCAACTCTTGCGACCTCTCGATCGCGCACTGCCCGCTTCCGCAGGCCACACACACTTACTCCGTACCGAGAAAATTGTTTACTCCCCACCGAGTAGAGCCACTTGCTCTCCTCTGTGTAGATCTACTTGCTCTCTTCCGAGCTGGTTCTCTTTGCTCTTCACTGAGTAGAGCCACTTGCTCTCCTCTGCGCAGATTCGTTTTTGAGCGGCCAAGACCGCCTCTCAGCACCTGGCGCACTGGGTCCCCCATGATGCGCAGGCACGCACTGCACTTCAAGGCCACGGTCTTCATTTGGACATCCTCCAGCGCCATGCGCTGCCTCACAGAGCCCGACGTCTCCGTACGCGGTGATTGTCTGGCACGCCACGTGCCACTTCTGCTGCGCTTCATCATCATCATCTGCACCTGCTGTGCTGTGGTCTACACCACGGTACGGTCCGTTACAGGATGTAGTTGGACGTAGGGTTCGTCACGGGGGGATTGTTCTCCATGTGTCGATCGCTTCTAAGAGTAGGAGCCATTTAAATGTAAATACACTTAAATGTCAACTTTAGGAAACTAATCAGGAAGTAAGGTAAACACGTAAGTGCCGGGCAAAAGGCCGCGACAGGACTGCGGTGTCTGGCGAGGCTGCTCTTCTCTGCTGCTCTCTGATGAGCGGCAGGCGTCAAAACGCAAAGTGTGGAGCAGCCTCCGCCAGAACACCGCTGTACCGCAAAAGTAGATTAGTATACAAATAGCAAATAAGTCAATACTAAACTCTAGATAAATGCACTCTCGTTTGAGTACACCATCTTGGCAGCGCACAGCCAACGATGTCCTTGTGCATACAGTCCTTGGTATAGTCCTTCGCCATTGCACGCATGTGTACTCAGTGTAGCCGGTTGTAGTGCAGCCGCAAGCTGCACTGCAAGGCGCATGAGTGTCCTTGGGATGTGTCTTTGCAGACACTGGCAGTGGACGGTGGCTCGTAGATGGGGGCACCGGACACTGGCAGACTGCAATGCACTGGCGCTCGACACGCAGGTAAGTTTTATAGCTCACAGATGTTTGATACTACCTTTAGCCTTCAAGGCATCAACAAGGCTGAAACAATAATTACTACATCAGCTCGCAAGACTGGCAAAAACACGCTGATGGTTTTGTTGTACACGCAACTACATGTAGTAGAGCTTAGACTAGCGCTACCTTGATCTGGCAAACCTAGCATCAATAATAAAGGCACAAAAGCCTCTTAAGCACCGCAGAGATACCAACCCTTTGCCATGAACCCTTTTCGTAAAGCAAAGTGGCAACGTCAACAACTTGTAAAATAATTTATTTTCATCATTTCTGTCCTTCTCACTTATGCGAGGCAGATAAAGCTAAAAACTCGTTTCTCCAGCAATTAGAACCGTCATTTTCAAAACTGAAAATGACACCCTTCCCGCCGCCCTGCCGGGTGTTTTTGGCTTCTTTGCGTTGGCTTGGGCGGAAGGTGTTCTTGTTTTACTTCTTAAGCGACTTGTGGTGCGGTCTACAACGTCGCGTGAGTCAACGAACTTCATGTTAATTAAATGCCTTCAATTTCATTTTATGGCCAATCACACGCCGTTACTTTAGCGTTACCACTTCAGGTTACGGGATCTCATTTTTCTAGCCATCGAGATGACACCAAATCCGCAAGAAGTGACTGTTCCAAAGCATCGCAGTATTTACATCAAACTAAAAGAAACCCAACACGCGGAACGCTACCCACCTGTTCGGCCAATTCGATGCGGCGAAGTAGCTCGTGTGAGTAGCGAGCCTGAGGCCACCACGTTGGGAGGGTTGACGACTCCGCCACTGTGTCATCCGAGTTGTGCTGATGTTTCAACTACTTGTATCAAACCCGTTGGGTCAAAAAGAAATAATAATGAGAAAGATGGAGTCTACCAGATCGTGACAACGGAGAGACCGCACCATCGCGCGGGGGAATACGCTCAATGGTCGTAGTTCCTGTGACGAGGGCTGTAGACCGCGTTCCTTGGCCTTGTCGAGCAACGAGGACGACTGCATGAAAGGGTTCCCGTCCAGCGGGAATTCCTCGCCATACCATTCGACGAGCTCTCGTTGGTATCCCAGGAAGTCAAGAGATTTCACGAGCTAACAAGCAAGAGAACACAATTTTTTGCTGTTAGATACTTCGCGTGTCCTGGAGTTCAACGTATAACGTGTTAGCATCCGTACAGTGACAATGAAGTCACTGCCCTTCCAGACGAAAGATGCAGTGTCGATGCCGGTCGATGAGATCTGCCGCCACTTCCAAACGGCCTCGAGCACGTCCACAGTTCTCTCCACGAGTGTCACGAGGGCATTTGTCAGCTCGTCAAAGGCTTGGAAGCGTTCTCGATACAGTACTGCCGTGGCGTAGCGCTTTGCGCCAGTCTGGGCGGCCTTTTGCACACTCTCGTAGGCGCGATCGTACTGTATCAATGCTGTTGACGCAGCTTGAAATAGTGCGTTCTCTCTTGGGTCTCTCCGAGATTGCGTTCGTCGGGTTGATGATCGAGGACGCTGGCTACTGATCGGTCTGGCGGCTTTGTCTGCTGTTAGGCTCTCGTCTTTTTCTCGTGTTGGATCTGGCAACGTGAGATGATGTCGACGATTCCATGGCAGTGGCCTCAGCGTGATTGTGCGGGCTTCATCTAACCGAGCGATCTCGTCCTTGCAAGCGATTGGTTCACTCCAAGAATTCTTTAAAGTTTCGAACTCGGTCGCACGAGTCTCTTGAGTGCCTGTTGTCGTAGCACGCACACACTTCATTGGAACCCTCCGTTCGCGCTCGTAGTCGCCGTCGAGAAAGTCTAATTGCAACAAGTGACTGTCACTGTCAATGGCAGCGATACGGCAAAGGTGCCAGCAAGGTTTTGTCGCCAGTACGGAGCCGTTTGTGCGACGGCGACGGCAGCTTTCAACAAGCTGCCCGACCTTGAGATTGGCAGGCGTTTTAACTTGACGCATACCCTCGTGCTCCATAGCTGGAGGTTTAAACACCTTGGTGATCTCATTGCCAAGCTCAGTGACAAATAACTGTTGTGTGGACATCGGCAGTCGCCGAGCATGAATAAAACTAAACTTGTTAGCGCGGATCTCTTCTTCACGCATGCGGGTGATCTTGAGCTCCTCGCCAAGCTCCAGTTCGCGCTTGGCAGCGGCCTCACGGGCTAGCTGCTCCCGGATGGCGCGAGCCTCGTCGCTTTTGTAAGGGCGGATCTGAGCTCACGTCGAAGAAATGTTAGCATGATACAAACACAGAGAATGAACCAGGCTTCGCACCTGGTCAAGTGCGTCGAACTGCAGTACAGATCGCACCATGCGAAGGACATTTTCATCAGCGTAAAGCATGGCCTTCTCGTAGTTCGTTTCAAGTAGCTCGAAGTACTCTGGGAATTGGCGCCAGATCGTAATAGCAATCGCTGTGGCCCACAATTTGCCGGCTATACCTTCCATTGGAGGTGGAGCTGTGCCATTGATAATAAACTCGAAATTGCTCGAGTAGGTCCAGCTTCCGTCAGGTTCCTGCGCCTCCAATAATGCTCGAATGGGCCAGGGCAGTCGTCGCCTGTCAGCGCTTTCCAACAATCGTCCTTTGGCGTGCTTTCGGGTTGGACTCCCCTGTTCAGAGAACGCTGATTCCTGGCTGGCACAGGTGTCGTCCGCCTTATTGAGAGGTACAATGTGGACTTGGCCGTCTTCAAAGATGACATCGGACGACACAGACTTGCCAAACGCTTCGTAGAATTCCTCGAAGTTGAACGGAAGCTTGGAACTCATTTCTAAACTCTGCAGCAGACACAAGGGGCAAGATTAATGGTCGTTTCGATCTATTTTTCGTTCGTGGTAATTGTTTGGATGGTCATTCTAGTGATGCCGCGTCAGGACTCGGTGGTCGTGGCAAGCTGACGGAACTGCGCACGAGTGAACTTCTGCCAACGAGCGTACAGAAGACCAGCCAGTGTCACCCCCACAACAAGCAACGCCGGAACAAGCGAGAAGAAGACATCTACCGCGATGTAGACCAGCAATCCAGTCGGGATAAGGAGTGCAATGATCAGCACAGTGATGTTACCAGGGACTGCAGCAGTAGCCAACAAGTTAGTTTTATCTTCAAGCCTGAGGTTCAGATGCCATGACAACATACCTTTGAATGGACGCTCAGTGTCCGGGTGCGAGAAGCGCAGCTTGATATATGCGACTAAGATCAGCAATTGATAGAAAGCCGAGAGCGCGTTGGTCATGCCCAGAATTTCGTCGAACTCGAACTTGACGAGCACTAAGATGATCACAAGACTGGCGTAGACTGCATTATGGGGCGTGCTGAACCGTTTGTTGCGTCTTTTAAGGAAGGCGACAGCAAATAATCGTCATTAACAAGGACGCGTAAAAACGTCGACCTTAAAAGGGTTAACTTACGCTTTGAGAAATGCTGGAGCGAGGCCGCACTCTGCCATACCCAAGATCTGGAACGAGTCGCAAAATAGTTCGGCGATGTACATGCCAGCATTGCTGCAGAACGTAGCTAGCACGACCCAGTTTGATAGAAAGCTGCCGCCAATTTCTTCCGCGATACTGGGAAACGATCCTTCTTCCCACGTCGTCCAATGCGGCGAGTTAAATACCGTTGCTCCAAAAAGCGGCGCCAAATACGTGAGCGCCAACAAAAGCACAGAGATCATTAGCGCGCGAGGATACGTCTTTCCCGGGTTGATCACTTCGCCACCGAACACCGACATGCCTACGGCGCCGTTGAAGTTCCAGAAGAGAGTATTGATCAGCAAAGACCAGAATTGACAGAGTTAGTTTTGCACGACTACTCAAGTACTATCGACGCTTACGTTGATGCTGCCGGACATGCTGACAAAGTCTCCGTTTTCATCATAGACGACGTCAGAGCGACGAACCTCGCCCACTACGCCCCAATCACTCGCGCGAATGACCCCCCAGATAAAGAGGACAGTAAATGGAATCATCACGAAGATAGACATCACTGCCATGCCTCGGCCTACGATACGAATACCCAGCAGGTTTGGTAAAGCCAGCGCCAAGGCAATGCCAGCTTTGATAAAGTACTCTGCAACAGGCGAGTTGATGGATCCATAGACATCCGTAAATGTCGCCACAGCCAGCGCCGGGTAGATGGCGTTGTCGATCACTTTCATCACACGGGCACATGAACGTTAAGTCGGGGGCCGAAGCCTATTAATTCAATTGTAAACAACTTACCACCGGATATCCAAGCCCAATAGCCACACTGGAATCCCCAGAACGGTCCGAAAGCGTTGAGCACCCACACTGTATAGCCTCCTGCAGCAACACCAACTAGTTTGTCAGCTCGGAGCCGTTGAGATAAATATCTCATCTCTTACCGTCTTGCGGGAATGTGGTGCTGAGCTCCGCCGTAACGTAAGCAATCGGAATACCAAAAATGAAAGGGAACAATAGCAAAAAGATGAGCCCGATCAATTGGCCACCAGCTACGACGATCAACCAATGCACAAGGGTCAACAGAACTTCCTGTAGGGCCACACGAAGATCGGATTGACGAACCCGAAATGATATACTCGGATCCAATGGGTCCCCCGCACACCTGCACCAAGCGGAATGAGTCTTGGAACGTCGAAAATGGCAACTACGCTCGTCACCTACTGCGAAATAGCACAAGCCGACAATGGACATGACTTTGAGCTGTCGACGAGGGCCTTCCTTGACCGTCTCAAGCGTGGCCCCGAGTCGCACCACATGGTTGCCATCATGTCAGCTAGTGTTGGAAAAACCACACTGGTTGCAAAAACCGGAACGACCAAAGCACCAGGTGTTTTGGTTCTACAACCATGGTTCTTTGGTTTTATGTGAATCTGGTGTGAATGGTTGAAGAGAAGAATATCACTCCAGACAAACGGAGTGTAAGTTTGGCTTTGCTTCTTGTGATGTAGAGCTGTACAAGGAGGGACCACCAGTCGGAAGATCCGTCAATCCCTTCGCTGCTGAAGTGGGGCTGAAGCTGCCATCATTCGTCGGTACGACAGCGTAAGAATGTGCAATATTTGCTGTTTTTTTTATTTCGTGTAACGCTATGCATAACCTTGAAGCCTAGAAATGTACTGGCAAGTGTACACTAGCTGCTTAATACTCAGATGGACCGTGCATTCCTGCAAGGAAGTCGCCAACATGACGTCGCTTGAGACTCGGCAGTCTACTGTGAAGGATATGACTACGACTGCGTCTACCGTCGGGTCTGGGCTGTGCACAGACGATGGTGTTGCTGAGCCTGGACTTCATGGAGGTCCTGCGAGACTACTCGGTTCATATCTTCACTGAGCCTGTGCTCAAGCGGATTCTGTCGGATGGCTACGTGCAGCTCACAGCGTGCATGTTGGTGATTCGTGAGCAACATAAGAAGCGTTGGCGGTGGACGAGAAGCTAACGGGTGTTTATTGTGTAAGGATCGACGTGCGTCAAGACATGTGTTCTAAACATTAGTATAAGACAACCGTGTACGAGATGAAAAAATATATATGAGCAAAGCTGATCGTGGCTGTATCAAATCATGTCTTGCCACCTTTATCTGCTTTTACCGCTGACGTCGAAGTGGCTGCGGACATGCGAAGTGCCAAACTGTATCACAAAATTCAAAATTGCTATAAGCTCTGTAATAACACACAGATAGCGGTTTGAACATACCTGGTTGAATCGGCGGTGAATCTGGTGTCTTTGACAGCTCCACCAAGGTAGCCTTTTGACCTCGCAGCCCTAATAATTCCTTTTCTTGAGGAAAGAGTCTGTCGTTGTGATTCGGAAAAGGTCGTCTATCTGGGTCTGGGATCGGCGCGGACGACTGTACTTTAATCGCCTCTAATACGGTGGCAAAATTGGTCTCTTCGGCGGTGGAAGTTACGACAGCAGGTTGCAGGGATCCAGCGTAGTCTGGCGCGCTGCCCTCACGAGTAATCGGTGGATCATCGTCACCTTCTAGTTCACATAGCACTGACCTACAGTACTCAAAAGCAGTATCCGGCCCGACGACACTTTCAACTCCGGCATCTTCTTCGGGCTCGCAGCATTCAAAACGATCATCGCGATCTCGAAGTCGCGTGCGCTCCGTTGGGTCGATGAGTCGGGTAGCTTTGTTGCTCTGAGAAGCGTCGCGCTCGGCATCCAATTCTCGTACCTTCTTGCGAGCTAGAGCAAGCTTTCTTGCCTTTTCTGGGGACATTTTGTTCCTCTTGGCGGCTTCGCCGGCGTGAAGTACAAGTGGAAGGCCAATTCGCTAAAGTAGCGCTCACACGTTGCTGTGTTGACAGCAATAGACAGGATTCCGATTGCAAGATCTGGTAACTTGCTTCCAGGCATCTCAGAGCGCATACATTTCCAGTAAGAATGAATCGAGCTAAAGTCCGCGAACGATAGCAAAGTATCTTCCTCATCCACGATCCACTTGTGCAAGTCTTCATACAGTCTAGACGTGTCCTTGCCGAGATGAAAGCGCCTAAAATAGTACACCCCCACGCGACACAGGGAGCCAACTGAAGTCAGCGGTGTCTTGTCCAGAAGTTTCTTGCCAGCTTGCTTATGTGCGGGGTGCAAAACGAGTGCCAGAATCATAAGCGGCTGCTCGCACTGGTGCCATCGCTTTTCCACTTCGCGAATAAGATTTTGGCTACCGTACCGATGCTTCGCAAACCCAGCATAGATATCAAGATAGCACACTACGACGTCTGCCATGGTGTATTCGTCACGCTGAAGCTTTAAAGAAGCATAGGCAAGAGGACGCACAACCTCTTCGGCGTCTGCAAGCGAGGCCCAGAATGTCCGATCAGCATACACTCGTAAAGCAGCTGGATAGTCACCAGCGTCTCTGAACTTCATCTCTAGCATCTCCAGCGCACTGCGAACCCTCAGGAGCGACGCGAAGCATCCGTGCATGCTATTCCATCTCGTTTCGCACAGCTGCTTCAAGTGTAGCTTGTAGCCGTAGGTATCTCTCATACACACGTTGGCTTCGACTAGCCACTTGGCCGACGAGGCATTCAGGGCGTTGACAGCATCCGACGCCTGCTTGGTGACTTGGGCGTAGTCAGACTTGAGTACGACCTTCACCAGATTATTCAAATCGTGCGCAAAACAAATTACGAAAGCAATGTTAGGCCAACGGATGCTCAATATTCTCCGAGCTCGACCGCACTGTCCCGCATTATCAGTAACCACAGCTCCATTTCTCCAACCGTCCTTCTGCATGCTGAGCATCACCCCCTCCATTTTCTCGGCGATGGCGACACCATCATGCCGAGAACCGGTGGCAAAAAGACCGTAGACTAATACAAAGCCGAACAAAGCCAGCTGGCTCCCTAGTAGGTGTGCACGTGCGATGTTCTGCCATACATCAGACAAAAAGTTAACGCGACCACCAGTGTTGTCTTGGGACTTTCTAAGTGTTGAATTCTCATGGGTTTCACAAGCCAATGCGTATTCATCAAGAATTTGCCCACCTAATGTCTTGCGCCGTGGGAGGGGATCGACACTACCACTCATTTTGTTTGCTTGACGAAGAAGACGAGCCGTTGACTGGCGCTCAATAAAACTGTCGGGCAAGTTGTTGTCTGCTTGGAATTCAAGAAGTAGACGCTGCAAAACTTTAGTATCGTCCTCTTGTGATATTCCAGCATAAAATTCGTCAATCCGTTTCTGTCGTTTTGGATTTAGCTGCTGAATTAACGCGTCGTAATCGGAGGCTAAGCGCTGCGCTGTTGCCACGCTGCCATCGTCGCCTGCTTCATGATCGGATCGATTCGAAGCCAAAGCGGCAGTGCTAGTAGCTTTCACGAAACCAATAAATCCAGTACAGCGCTTTAGATGGCTCTTGAAGTTCTCGATCCTTCCTTTATTCTTCTCGGTTCAGGTAGACTGTACGTCCCATCCGGCTGCCTGGAGTCCTTGTATTCTTGGTCAAAATGCTTGCAAACGTGCCACGAGCGGCCGTTCCCGCAATCAATTTCAAGATTTGCAAACTCCAAGCGCTCTTCACTCGCGGGATGCCCCATACGCGGCAGGTGTTCTGTTTCAGCTCTCACGCAGATCGACAGTTTATTTGGAGAGGAGAGGGTATCTATTAAGACTGAGAAAAGAGCGTTCGTGCGGTGAGTGTGGATTGTGCTAAAATACCAGCATCAAGATCAGTCGGTCTCCCTCGATACTACCGTCTTACCGCGTACTAGACGCCTAGGCGTTTAATACGATCAAGTCAAAATCATTTTGGAGAGAAGAATCCCTCGTATTGAACGCCTATTCAAATACAACGCCTAGCATGACCATGTGGTAGTAGCACATACGGCAAGCTGAAACTTGTGTTCATCGATGGATGGCCGGCGCTGGCCGGCCGAGCTGGTTTTGCCGATGGATGGCCGACGCTGTCCGACCGAGCTGGTTTTGCCTCCTTCAGTGCCTTGGCAGTTCCCATTTTGCTCAAAAACACGCACAAGCATGCCTTCAAAACGCTCCAGCTATAGCCTACAGTTCAAGCTGCATGTAATCAGCGAGTACAAGTTCAACGTTAAAGGGTGTGGGTTCAACGCGCTTGCTAAGAAGTACAAATTGACGTCTCCATCGTTGGTTCGCGATTGGCACCGCAACCGAGAGAAGCTTCATGCCGCTTCCAAAGACCGACAAGTAGCGACACGAACAGTTCGGCGTCTGCCTGGAGGAGGTAGAAACCCACAGCATCAACAACTGGAGAAGGACCTTCACGAGTGGATCATTGAGAGAAACAACAAAGGACTGCGTGTCAAAGACAAGTATATACAACTTCAAGCTCTCAACCTTCACAGCAAGTTGGTAGTTGTCGACTCCGATAAGCAGCCCGACCCATTCAAAGCATCTTCGGGGTGGCTGGACCGCTTCAAAACCCGATACAATCTAGTCTCCCGCCGCCAAACAACTACCAGAACGCTTCCGGTCGATGCTGCAGCTATTTGTCTTGCCTTTATCAATGAGGCACAAGCTCTCATTGAAAAGCACAACATTCAACCCTGCAATGTCATTAACATGGATCAGGTTCCGAGGTATTTCGAGACCGAACCGAAAACAACAATTACGACCAAAAGCTCACGTGAGGTCTTGCTGCGAAAAGGCGGAACGAGCCACAAACGCTTCACTGCAACATTCTCGATCACTGGAGACGGCCAAATCTTGACCCCTCACTTGTTGTTCTCGAAGTTGAAGAAGATACCTGTGTGTCCACCAGGCGTCATGGTAGACGTTAACAATTCCGGAATGTGGAGCGATGAAATCTTGTTAGAGCACGCTAAACAAGTCATTTGCGGTCGCCAAGAGACAAAGTTCTATCGCCAGCACGTCCTGTACATCATCGATTCCTACGCGGCGCATGTCAAAATGTTTGATGAGCAACGGCTTCGCAACTACAACGTTCATGTGCTGTTAGTCCCACCCAACCTTACGAGTCTCTGCCAACCGCTGGATGTTGCCGTTAACCGCAGCTTTCAAGAATTTTATCGGGACAAGTATGACACTTACATTGCGCAAGCACTGTGTGACTCGGCGCTTCAAACGCCTGCTGGCAATCCAAAAGTACCAAAGTACTTTAAAGTCGCCGAATGGGTGCTTGAGTGGGCAGCAAGCAAAACGAATGAGGAGATTTCTCATGCTTTCGAGCTATGTGGGCTTGTTCGTAGGTCAGCTTTCAGCATGGAAATGCTGCATCCGCCTCTCAGACAGCTTATTAGTGGCGAAATCAGCATGG